ATGCATCACAATGTTAGACAAAAGGGATTTAAGAAGGTTTTAGTTTGAAAAGTTTTCCTCCTGTTTGAAAAATCGAATTTAGTTAAGTATCAATCGAAAGAGATTTATGAAAGCTTTAGTTTGGGAATATCTTTGATTAGGCTTGCCACCTTATCTAAAAGTCATACGGATGCAATCATATATATATATTAAACAGAAGGCACAATTGTGAAGGTCATAAGGTTACCTCCGTTATTTCGAATTTCAAATATGAGAGGTCAAAGTAAAGACCTTGGCCTGTAGATGTGCGGTAAGGTTTTAATTTAATTATGATTTGAAATTTGATTATATTAAAAACCACTCCTCTCTTCACTCAGAAACGGCTCTACGGATTTAGATGAAATATGCCACTCGGATCGCTTATAACTCTGACTAAGATTTGCAGTAGTTTGTAGCTTTTTTAAATGAAATTTTGGGCGTTTTAACGCCTTGGGGGTTCACTAGTAATTTATAATTTCCAACCTAGTTTATCGAAAAATCCGAGGCCCTTTGAAAATCCGGGCCCGGGGGGAAACACCTCCCGCTCCCTTTCCTCTAGACGAGCATGATTCCCATAAACCAACTTACAAAAGTGGATTAATAACGTATTGGTATATCTGGGAAAAGTTGATAAAGTGAATGTCAAAATGAATGTATTAAGAACTTGCTTGAAATATCACTCATACGCCCCCACCGTCACAACTGATGGCATACTTATGTATGTAGCTTTTCATTTCTCAGTGCGACCTATTGTAACACTAACATTACTTGCCTAAGCCTTATAAAAGCTTCATAAATAACGGTATCTTTGTACTGTTGCTATTTTTCACGAAAGCAGTTAAAACGCACTGAGGTGTAAATCCATTAATCCAAACATCGATTAATCCGAATATTGATTAATCGAGCGCTTCTCATTCGATCCGGGAATCGATCCAAAAAATTAAATTCGGTATTCGACATTCGATTTTGAATTATCGAAATCGGTTCATGTAGTAAAAAATATTCCGACGAGTTGGCCATCTTCCTCCTTTTTTGAATTCGGTCAAAAAGAGCAAAACATCATCTAAAGATTCACACACATACATCTTTAACCCCTTTTTGATTAAAAATGCATATTTTCGTTAATTTAGTCGAAATCTTGAAATTATCTAAATACTGGAATAATGTTTTTTTCTATTTGTTATTTACATATCTAATTCAGGGATTTGAGTAATGATGGATTGGACGCTAGTTATTATTGAATATTATAGCTAGCTAAGCATGGAATATTAGATATCTAAGCAATAAGTCTTTCGCCACGTGCCAAAAAATCGTTTTCATTACTTCCTGGAATTAATTGCCATTTATTTACCACCTGTTTTGGTTGTCGCAATCAATCAAATATATCCAATGTGCTTATCCATCAAAATATAAATCCATTACCGTCATAATAAATTCAGTAAGGGCAATAAATCCAAATACGTGAAATTTTAATTAGCTTTTAGCATTGACAAAATTTTTATGTTTACATACATACATACAATGTTTTCATGTACATCCATATGTATACGCAAATACGGCAGACTAAATATTTCGACCAGCACTCATCCATGTTGACATGCGTGTGTATATTTTAAAAGCAAGTGGATTTTGCATATGTACATTAGGGTAGTTCAAAAGCAGTAAAGTTGGATTGTTCTATTTATATCGAAATAATATACCCTTTTTTTTTAATAAAAAAAATATATTTCGAGGTCACTTAAAGCGCTCAAAGTTTATCATGTATTTTTTATTCGAAAAAAAAAATTCGTAGATATATTTGAGAAACCTTGGAAACCTATATTTTTGAATCGGCAAACTCTGTAAGTTTTCAAGGGTCCCAAAAACCCCAAAAACCTGCAATGGGGGTACTCATTGAAGTCTCCTGAAGAGAAACAGCATTTACCGATTCTATACCATTTCTACGAAAAATAGTTTTTTCCCATATAAAATATGTAAATAGATGGCAAACTTTGAGCGACTTCAAAATATTTTTTTTAATAAAATAAAAGTATTTTTTGATTAAAAAAAACAAAAGGTTGTATATCTTTTCGGCGTAAGTAGAAAAATCCTAAAAAATTCCGAGTTCCTTATTCTCACGCATTTTTCCCGGACCACTCTAATGTACATACATACTTACCTAGTAAACANACAAAAGGTTGTATATCTTTTCGGCGTAAGTAGAAAAATCCTAAAAAATTCCGAGTTCCTTATTCTCATGCATTTTTCCCGGACCACTCTAATGTACATACATACTTACCTAGTAAACACCTTTCATGCAATGTTTTACCCAAGAAAGTATTTTCGCACCTACATAATATTTAATAAATACAAATTATCATCAGTACAGCGAATTTGGAAACCCACACAATGATCATCGATACCAAAAAATATGCTGGTAAACTTCCAATGGATAAAATACTTTGTATCAGCCATACGTGCGAATTGCAGATGCAGTTCTCTTTCGATGAGTCCGAGTAGACAGCTTCGGATTCATCAAAAGATGCTCCGGCTTTAGCTTTAGCCCTCTCATTTCCGTGTATGTTCCTTTGGTCGTGAACCCAGATGAGAGAGATGTCTATTAACTAGGCCATTGAGCTTAACGCACATTTGCAATTTCAGAGTGTTTTAGATTTTGCAACCGGTGCTGCAAGTGGCAGAAGTGCCGCTATCTGAGAAAATGTATGCTTTTCGTACTTCTACATAGTTCCTCCTAAGGCTTTCGAGGCCCTTTCGAATCCCAGTTCTACTCGCTTGGAAGATGCTAGTAAAATTAGCTAGTCGAAACGAGAGAGAGACATCCAAAGTTTCAGAGAATACCCGCGCACACACACCGCAGTCCATTTTGGACCCGTCGGTATAGATTTCAGTGGAATTCTCCTCGACTATTCTGCCTCTACTCCAATCCCGTCTAGATGAAAACTTCAGTAAAATTTTTTCCTGAAATCTGTCGGAGCAGGTATTTAGTCTGATTTTTCCTCTGATTCCATAAGCTTTTGAGTTGATGCAGGATCACATTAGGCGCATCAGATGGACCCGGTTTGATTGTTCCTGTAGCACCTGCACAAGCTGATTTTTATACCTTTCATGAGCATGAAATGGTATAATAACTTTGGTCCGATGTTTGTAAGTACCAGAACAAGAAGAGATAAACCCATTGAAATGTATACTTAAATGATCAGAACGTCGAGCTGAGTTGATTTAGCCATGNGAAATGTATACTTAAGTGATCAGAACGTCGAGCTGAGTTGATTTAGCCATGTCCGTCTTTCCGTCTGTCCGTCTGTCTGTCTGTCGGTGTGTTTGTATGCAATCTAGTCTCTCAGTTTTCGAGATATCCGGATGAAATTTGGTAGATGGGTGTATTTTTATAATGTATTAATCATTCGTCGGAACCGGAACAATCGGACCACTATAACATATAGCTCCCATACAACTAATTGTTCAGATATGAGATTTTTCGTTATAACTTCTCCATTTATGTAGCTAAGAATATGAAATTTTGCAATACTTCCACCCATTATCAACAGAGAACTTAGAGTGAAAATTACAAAGATCGGGTCAGTATAACCTATAGCTCCCGTACTTCTGATTGTTCAGATATAAGATTTTTCGTTATAACTCCTTCATTTATTCAGCTAGGAACATCAAAATTCGCACCGTTTTCAATCATTATTAACTATTATTATAATACTTACGGTGAAAATAACAAAGATCGGGTCACTATAACATATATCTCCCATACAACTGATTGTATAACTCCGCCATTTACAGTAAAATGAACAAAGATCGGATCACTCTTCTTCTTCTTAATTGGCGCTCGGATCACTATAACCCGTTTATTGCCCCCATACAACTGATTGTTCAGATGTGGGGTTTTACTGTAACACTCCTTTATTTGGACAGCTAAAACCGATACATTTCTGAAGCTATTTTATAAATAATAATACAAAGTCTACTAAGAAAATCGTCAAAATGTATGCTGTATGAGCTTTATCTCTTATACCACTGGTTGTTCAGATACCAGTCTTTGCGATATATCTCCTTTATGTAGGAAGCTAAACCCATTAAATTGTGTTACCGGTTTACATACCGATCACACAGCACTGAAAATCACTTAGATTGGTGCTATATAAGGTATATCTTCCATACCTCTGATTGTTTAGATATGATTTTTTATATATGTAGAGGAGATACTATGCCTGCTATGAATATATAAATCTTTCCAAATGCAGTAATCTGTTAAAGTAAAATTTTCAGATGCTCATGAAAGGTATGAAGCCTTCGACATAGCCGAAGACAGCGCTGCTCTTACTTGTTGTATACTACGTTGTATTGTTTTTCAAGTGCCGATCACCGAACTAACGCCGCGTACGTTAGTATTGGTCATATGATAGCCGTGTACATCCAGAGGACAAGCTTTGGATTTAATACCCAGTTCTTACTGAATGTTCTTTTGCATGTATAATAGGCAATGTAGGTTCTCTCAACGCGCCTCTCAATATTTGTATTCCAGCTTAGTTTGGTGCCTGATATGACACCCAAGGTATTTCGCCTCGGAGGACAATGTGAATAAAAGTAGGTAAGTATTTGAAAAAATTCAGTTAACTTGAATTTAGCACAAGATCAGAAACTGTTTATTAATTTTTTTGTACTACTGTAAAACCCGCTAAAGCACCTCACGAAAATGTCAGCTTTTTTAGGTACTTACGTACGGGTTGGATACTTAGTAGAACCCGCTTAAGTACCTCGGGTACTTAAGCGAACATAATTATTAATGTAGTTAATCTTCTTGTTAACTTACATAAATAAGTACTTGAATGAAACATGAGCATTTAATGAAGTGCACGTGGTTTAAAACCAAGATTATTTTAATACATAAACATATAAACCAAAACTTTATAAACAATCGGAAAATCAATGTTATGCCATTTTTAAAAGAATTCAATTCTGTAAAGTAATTTATTACACACATTTATACATACATACAGTGTTGGACATATCTATCAATTCGGACCAACTAAAAATTATGGCGTTTGACACTAATGCTAATTTATTAATTTTTAAGATTTTTCAATTAAAACACAGTTCATTTCATAACAAATATCATTTAAACCTAAGCTTATAATTTTTAGGAACCCCAAAAAACATTCATCAAATTTTCAAAAAAATTTCAAACTTTTTTTCAGAAGTGTTTTAGTGTTGCAAGTTTCAAGTGGCTAAAAATTGTCATTGATTTTTTAGAATTTTTTGCCGAATGTGTTGCGGGAGCACTTAAAAGGGGAAAATTATAAGTAAAATGGTATATGGGGTACGAAAAATTTAGGTACTTAGGCGGGTTAGGTAAATAAGCGGGAAGGTACTTAGGAGAAAGATTTTCTTCAGATTCCATTAAAATATTCACGGTGCCCAAAAATGTTGGTTACTTGAGCGGGTTTCACTGTAATTTTCAGTACGTATGTATATAATTGCAGAAACGGTTCACATAAATACATGTAAATACATAAATAAATAGAATAGCACATACGACTTTAAAAATAAAACCATTTAAATGGACTATAAAAAAGTTGCTCATAATTCAGATCCCGTTCATTATGCCGTTCCTGCCCATTGCTTCACAACGGCATTCGCGCTCAAGCCGCTTCACAGCTCATCACTTTCGCCACTTCACACCTCCTCTTCATTATGATGACACCTTCGTTTTCGCTCGAGTGAACAGCCGTATATTGCAACAGCAGTATTCAGACCCGCAATTTACAATTATAGCTTGATTGCCAATAATTCACAGCTTGGAATTTTCATCTTTGCCAGACAATTCACGTTCCAAGTGATCGACATCGTATATAACGATTAGTCCCTTATTGAGGTCTTCGAAAACCTGTGCGACTCGACGTTGCAGATTGTAAAAGTAGAGTTTTTGGTTACGCGTCTCGAAATCTTTAATTAACATCGAAACCACCTTGGCGGCGGTGAAATCAGCACCATAAATGTAGGTGCAATCAATGACTACGGGTACCGTCGATTTGCGCCCTTGCTTGTTGATCACATTGCGCACAAACTCTACAGAGGGAAAGATCAGACATCGATCGGGGGTGAGCATGAGGTATCTAATGCCAGTTGAGGTCTATGTGGTGGGAAAAGAGTAAATTAATAATGTGTTTGATTGCAGGCGTATCTACATAAATAATACTACATAATAAGAGTTTAATGAATAACTTACACATAAATTTTCGATACGCAGTTTTGGTCTCGCTGCACTGTACAATATGAAAACGATATTGATGCCAATGCCAACCAATATGCCAACCTGTATGGGCAATACAATACAAGCTATGAAGGCTCCAAGGCCAGGAATGAGATCAGTTTCTGGAAGATAAAAGAATTAAATTATTAGCAAAGTAGTAGTTTATGCCTCCCTAGTTTAAATAGGTTAGACAAAGGCGCACACTTATTTTTTCGTCCCGCTAGATTCTCTATTCAGACCACTGTATGCGGCTGAAGGCCTCGTAGCCAGTGCTGCGCTAGCGTATTTCTTTATCAAATTGTCTTTTTTTATACATACAGGGGTAGGCGCTCGAAGTATTACGAATTTAAAAATTCTATAGTTTTGTAAACTTTTTTGTCAGATCATCATAAAAATTACAAATAAAAAAAAAAATGTATTAAAGTTAGATTCAGCCAATTTTTGGGGCGGATAATAGCATCGAGTCTACCCGGGAATGCTTCACAGGCTGCACGAATGTGGTCTTGTGATATTTTACTGCAGTGGGCGCGAATAGCAATCTTTCTTATGTTCTTAGTTGATATTTAGGCCTCGAGAATGGACCATATGGAAAAAACCGTTGCAAAGATACGAAGCTGGTAAGGTTTTTCTAAAAAGCGTTGAATTTCGCGACCTTTTAATTTTTAATTTTTGTTTGTCACGTTTGAGATTGACTTGTATGTAAATAAAGCGAGCAATTTTCATTTTCTTCTATTTTAATAGAAGGTACGTTAATTTTAAGTAAAACCAAACAAAGGTCGACTTCGTTGTTTACCTGTTTTTTGTAAAATCTATATTTTTATGTGGTTATTTGTTTAATTTTTTTTTAATGAAGGCTATCTAATACAATTTAGAAGATATTTGTAATTTTTACTTGTTTATATAAATTTTTTTTAGAGTAAAGTGCGGAGAAAATAGCAGTTTTGGAGAAAATCGATTCTCCTGTTGCTGAAATGAAATTTTTACTGGCAAATTTTAGGTTTTGCATTTCATAAATATATATATACTTTAACAAAGCATTTTGAGGCAGTGTTTTTTTTGTTGGAGCATTCTGCATTTAAACCTAAGATATTTTTCTTCCATATGCAAGTTAAGTTGTTAAAATATCTTTATTCGTTCAGAAGTTATGATTTTTTCAACGAAAAATGTCAAAAGGCCCCATAGGGGGACGCCCAAATAGCGCAATTATTATATCTAATAATCAATTATCTAATCTTTATTTAAAAAAAAAGTAGAGTATACTTTAAACCAGCGTTTATGAACGCTTAGATGTGAGCATATTATTATCGTTCCTGATTTTAGATAGAAACTGTGTCAAGAAATGTTCTTTTTAAACACCCTTTCCTTGATACAGACAAAGGTGACATTATTGAGATTGAAACGCTATTTTAATTTTAGTAGCTCCTTAGCAAAATAATTCAATCACTCGTGAAAATTGCATACATTACGGATGTACTTACTTTTACTACGCCACATCGGCTTGATTACGCGATATTGTAGCATAAAGATCGTCGCGGAAACAATAATTGCAGCCAAAGCAGCTTTCGGAACATAGTAGAAGGCAGGAGTTAGATAAAGTAAAGCGAACATCACAAGAATTCCCGCATACAAATTTGACATCTGAGTTCTAACACCGCTGGCATTCAAGACAGCACCTCGAGCCAAAGGGCCATTGCCACGAAAGCCCTGCGCAAAGGAAGTGCCGACATTACAAAGGCCAATGGCGATGAGTTCTTGATTGGCATCACAAGGCTTGCCATCGGCTGGTAATAAAAAATAAAACAATAATTATATTGTATACATACATACTTATGTATGTACATTTGCCACACCATTTACTATTTTATAGCGGAAACACAATGCCGGCGAATGGCGAACTCACCACAGCGAAATTCGCGCTGTCAAAATTAGAACACCCGCAAGCCCAATTCTGTGTTTTCTTGATAAATTATTTATAAAGAAATTGTATCAAGATTTTTATCAAGTAAAATCTCCCATCGCATTCAGTGTCAATGTTTATTAAATAAAAAGCTCTACGATTTCCACAAGAGGGGAACTAATTTCCACACGAGAGGAACTGATTTCATTGTTACATATGAAAAATATGAATTTAAAAGCAAACAAGCTTTTGACTGCCGTAGCCGAGTAGATAGAGATGGCTATAAATTCTGTGTGTTCCAGGTTCAAATGCCGGCTCATGCAGTATTTAAATGATAGAAACCATTTTATTAATATAAAAAATTCATGATTCAATAAATAAACAGTTTTTTCGCTCCCTCTTGATAAAATCGGCTCCCTTAGCAAGGCACTGTGTGTGGGTTCGAGTGTGTGTGCAAAGCTTTTGTAAGGGAGATAAGGTAGTGTCAAAACTCTAATGTCACTAATGAGCAAACCTTTAATTATTGTATCATGTACAAAATTTATAATTTTCATATGAAATTTCAATTTGTAAACGCTTGTCAATAGCATTTTCAATCTTGACAATTTATCAAGAAAAGAGCTTTTGATTTCTTTGCTAGAATTGCAATTCTTGATAAATAATAAAAAATTGATAAATCATAAATTTTTTTTACTTATCAAGTGCACAGAATCGGGCTGTAAATTGAACACAGCCAAAGCGAAATGCGAAGAACGCTCGGCGCCCTTTCGTGGCTCTAGATTTATTTCTATTGCCCTGCTGGGCGATGGCAGCTGCACGTGTTTGAAAAATACAGTTGCGGATTCATTAAATCTGGCTTACAAGAAAATAATTTATAATAATTTTTCTTTGTTTTATATTTATATTTGTTATCATTTCCTCATTTCCGAATATGGTTTCGTTTTTTAAATATGGTCACACAAATTATAAAGGCGACCGAATGGCATCAGCTGTTTTCGCTACCGCTTTAATTCTGTTTAAGTAGGCGAAATAGCTGGGCAAACGGTGAACGACACCCTTGCCCAATTCGGCGAATTTGACCATTCGCCGGTATTGTGTTTCAAGCATTACTCACCAAAAGTTTGTATCAGTGCTGTGGTTTCCAGCAGCGAAACTAGCGGTATCACAATTAGACCAGCACCCAAACTGCTTACCATATCAATGAAATTTTCATGCGTTTGCACAAGCTCACCGCTGGTCGTATTCGTGAAGGTATCTATAAAAAATTCTGGCATCTTCAGTTCGGGTAATCCCTGTGGCACATAACCGACCATACGAAAGATGTCGATGCCGGAATGGAGCAAATCATAACCTAATAGACCGACCAACATCACAAGAACTGCATTACGTGAAGTGCCAATCAACCAGATGATCTGCTGCAATACACGCTGCCAACATGCTTTGCCCTCCTTCGGGCCGATAGTGACAAAGGTCATCGAACGCATAGAGAGTAATATAATAACCGAACTTATACCCAAAGCGGCATCATTCCAGCTGATATTATGAAAATCCTTAATTATGGAGATTATGGATGTGTACTAGCGTCTCGCCAGTTGTATCTACAACCAACATATCCTTAAGNGCGAACTTATACCCAAAGCGGCATCATTCCAGCTGATATTATGAAAATCCTTAATTATGGAGATCCACATGTGTACTAGCGTCTCGCCAGTTGTATCTACAACCAACATATCCTTAAGTTGTGAGGTAAAAATGATTAATGAAGCGGCGCTGGTGAAACCTGCACTGACCGGCCCAGATACGAAGTCGATGAGGAAACCTAGCTGAAATATACCCATCAGAACTTCAATGAGGCCAGTAAGAAAGGTAAGTAGAATTGTTTTTTCCAAACTGCCACGAGCAATTTGAAACGTCAGCAATGCGGCAATGGCAGTAGGTCCAAAAGGAACATCTTTGCTGGTGCCGAAAATAACGTAGATAAAGCAGCCCAAGAAGCAGCTGTACAGTCCATACTGCAAGAAGAGTGCCAAATTAGTATATACGCTAATGTATAGGATCTAAGAAGTCTTTAATTGGTGAATATAAACGCATTTTAACAATATTTACAACAATTATAGATAACGGACTACGAATGAGAATAATATGTATTTTATAGCGTTTTCTTTTCTCGAAGTAATGTTGCATTTATTCTTCTTCTTAAAATGTTGCACGCTGATAATGTTGCCATATAAGAAGGTCACATTTTTTTCGAGAGAAGATAACGCCATTAAAAAAAGAATACCTATCGATCGTTTGCTAGAATAACGTAGCTAAAAAAAATAGATAATTCATGAAAAAGACTTCAAAGCTTTTACAATTCATCCATAGGATAAAGTTATCATAGGTTAGGTTAAAAATTAGTTCAAGCTACTGCAGCTTATTGTTTTCTCGTTTATTTCATTCTATTTTAAATTTAATGGTATTTTCTTTTGTACAAAAAATGTTTCCTTTTCATTGCCCGCTCCTTAGTATTTGTGCTTACAAAAACTTGGAAGGCAACATTTTTCGGTAGAAAAGAAAAGGCCATAATTGATTTACGAATAAATTCAAGCAGATCCTTTCAAGAGTACCACGACCCTCCGAGATTGAGAGCAACATGAGGTTCACAGTGAAATATTCGCCCAATTTCTGAGGGTGACTGCGAGGGCCGAATGTTGCGGATGGATGAAAATCTGGTCTGAGCCCTATCGGGGCCAAATGGTCAGATGTCTCATTACCAGGTACTCCCGCGTGACCTGACATCCAAGGTAAAGCAGGAATCACACGATTTTTACATTTATACAGATTTTTACATTTTGGCTGTATCGAGAAAGAGTTCAGCTAATAAAAAACCACACTCCACAACTATAAAAATGTTAGTCGAGACTTGTATTGCCGAACCAGAGTTGATATAGTTAGAGGGCTGGCCAATGTCTTAAGTGCACCTATTTTCCGCCATGTAGTCCATGCCCTCGGGAATTGCAAATACTTCGAATAGGAATACCGAGGCATGTTCCCCAAGACAAAAGTGAAGCTCATCAACATTATGTTCGATATAGACAACAGATCCTGATCCATTATCAGTTTAGGAGCCATCAGTGAAGATTATAATTTTTTCTGTTAAGTGGAAAAGATGATACCCGTCAAGTGGCCGGTGATAACTGTTCGCTTTCCAGTCGAATATTCTCCTTTAAGACTGCGATTTTCTAAGGATGTTGGCATGAACCTGCGACTTCAAGTAACCCCTAAGAAATGAGTGATTGAGAAGAAGGGTGATTAATTGAAAACGCTCTTCTGTCTCGATCTCTGCCACCAGCAATTTTCATTTATTTCAAGCTTATTGTTGGCCTGTAAGGCCTCCCTACGTATAGAGGTGCAATGTTTTGGTAAGCGTAGTAGAGCATAAAGAGCAGTACCAGGTTTTGTATAGAAAGCTCCCATGCAGCACACAGCGCTTGCCCTTTCAAGTTTGGCAAGCAGATTTCCGACGCTTTTGATTGCGAGTCTGATTCACTATACCACCGATGCATTACTGGTAATGCGTCTGATCATGGAGGTGTAGATACATGGGATACCCTTGGGTGACAGACCTCATGTCTTACCAAAGACCTTTTTATTTATTTATTTATTTACGCTTTGCAGGTCGTATGCCCATCGTGAGACCTCTATGCAAGTGTGACCTTCAGAATTACTCCTAAATACTTAACTTCGGAAGAGATCTAAATTGTGACTGCTTTAAATGTAATGGGAATTGAAGCATCCAACCGGCACTTCGAGTGCAGAGCACAAAACTAGTTTTGGTTGGGCTAACGGACAGCCCATGCTAATAAAATCAGGTTTCAATCATACTTGTGCAGTGTTCTTTGCGCTTTCCTGCAAACAACTGACCGGCAGGACACATGATTATACGATAGATACGAGAGTCACTAAGGGCCAGTTTTCCAGTGCCGGTTTAAACTTAGATTGAGTAAACTGATTTTAAACTGAATAACTGGCTGGCATTTGATTGGCTGATCTTAGTTCAAACCAGCCAGCGCGGGCGTTTAAACTGAGTTTAAACCATGGGCGTGCACTGAAAAACTGACCCTAAGAGGGACATCAATCACCAAGCACCAGAGCAAAGTCGAAAGCACTTTGATGTCTCACTTTCTCAGATAAATATTCTGGAAATGAGTAAAGTTGTAAGGCAGACAAACTTCATACTTATAAGACAAAGCTAAAGAAATCAGCACAAAATACACAAATTTAAGGAAGAGCCGCCGGCTATTTCTACATACTTAACTGGAAAATTTTTTTTTTCAACGTAATGTTCTTCGGCTGGCATGATTTATTGAACACGGTCAAAAATCGCTTATGTTTGTTTCTTTTTTCTAATATTTTTCTTAAAATTATGCAAAAAGAATTCAAAATGAAGAATTCAAAGAATAGTCTAGATAGAAGCAATATATATACATACGCAATACACTATATACCCAATAAACATTAAACATTGGGCTCGGTTAACAATTCGAAAATGTTTGGAAAACCAATCCTTTTTTTGAAGTGAGGATTCTATAGCGGCGGTTGATTGGTTCGGAGTAAATTGGCAAATTCAACGGAAATGATGCAACGGAAATGGTTGGGACGGAAACAAGTGCTTCTTGAATGTATGTTATTAATTTAACAAAAACTTGCTAATAAAGAGTTAAAGAATAACACTTAGAAAAAGACCAATACAAAAATGAAAATAAAGGTGAGTAGGTACATGATAACGAAAAAGGTAAAGGAAAAGGTAAAAATAAAAACAAAAACAAAGATACGTAAAGATAATGGCAAAAATGAATACCAAGGTAAATTTAAACACTTTACTTATATATAAGTTAAAAATAAAGATAAATATAAAGAAAAAGATGAGGATGAGGATACCGATAAAAGTAAAGATGAAGATAGAGGAAGTAAGATTAAAATAAAGGTAATTAGAGAGAAAAGGATATAGATAGAGACATATAGATCCAATCTGGGAACCATTTAGGGATTTTAGAGGTTTCCGGGATTCTCGGGACTCGATATAATAATCGATGTTTTTATCGGGTTTGTTATCGATTATTTATCGATTTTGTTATAATTTTTTTTTCGATTATTTATCGATTTTGGTATTGCGTTTGTTATCGATTATTTATCGATTTTGTTATCGATATTTTTATAGATACTTTTATCGATATTTTTATTGATTTTCTAATCGGTTTTGCTACCAATATTATAATCGATTTTGTTATTGAAATTTGTATCGAATTGTTATCGATATTTTATCGATTTTGTTGTCGATTATTTATCGATTTTATTACTTAAAGCCTTTGATATCGATTGTATTATCGATTTTGTCAGCGATATTTTTATCGATTTTCTAATCGATTTTGCTACCAATATTATTATCGATTTTGCTATCGACATTTTTATCGAATGTGTTATCGATATTAACATTGATATTTTTATCGGTTTTACTATCGATATTTTGTTGGATGTTACTATTGATTTGTTAGCGATAGAGTAGAAAGATAACAAGTAAGAAAGTCTAAGTTCGGGCGGAGCCGAACATTAAATACCCGGCGCAAGTATTAAATATATGTTTTTTCACCTTTCCGAAACCTTCCGCTAGATGGTAAGCCGGGGTGTATCAATTACATACCAAATTTCGTTGAGATATCTCAATTTTTGCTCGAGTTATCGTGTACACGGACAGACGGACAGACGGACAGACGGACGGACAGACAGACATGGCTTAATCGATTTCTTTTTTCATC